TTTGGCTCAGCCTGACCCTCACATCAAGTAGCAGAACAATTTCCATTTCCCTGCGCTCAGAGTTAGATAAGGAGATTGCTGCCTTTTTTGGTCTCCTGGAATGGTGCTTGTGTCCTGCAGACTCTGTAAACTGAGCCATGTGGAGAAGGCAGTGAGATCTGGATAGCACGGTTTCATGTTATGTGGGTGTCCTGTCTGAGCTGTGGGTTCACCACCTATGCAGAAAGAGAGAAAGTCCCTTTCCTTATCAGGAGGAATTTTGTGTTACACACCACTGGAAAAAAGGCAAAGACCTCAAGTCAAATTTGTCTCATAAATAGCAATGATTTAAAGGCCGAGCGTACTTATGCTTTATGCTTCTCAGAGTGTACAAATACAAATTAATTAAAGGTTACTCCAGGCTGTATATCAAAACCTGTTTACCAAAATATTTCTAAGATTTTGTCTGAGGAAGGAGTGCAGCTGAATTCAATTTGGGAGTAAATAAGAAGTGCACATTTCAATCCTGGTATGGTCTTAAATGTGGCTTATACATTTCATGAGAAGCCAGCTCGTGACCTTACCATCTGCCCTAAGGAATGCATGCCACAAAGCATAAACTGGAATCTGACCTCCTTGCTCTGGGATAGTGGTAATTTATGTCTCCCTTTGTTGGGAAGTAGGGTTTCTTTTAATCTGTGCCTAGTTTGCTGCAGCACAAAGGGAGGAAAACAGTAGAGCCCTCCTTCACATCACCTCCACTCCCCACTTACTCCCCTACGCATGGTGTATAGCACGTCTGAGTTGCTGCTGCTGTTTCCTCTGTGCCACTTGTGTCAGTGACTTTATGCAGTCTCTGTGCTGATGTGCAGAACAGTCCCTGAGGCAGGCTAGAGGCCAAATTGGCTGCTTGTCCATCTCCTTTGCCTGCCACTAGGCTTTGGGAGCCAGCTTGGGGCAACCCCACTGATAGTCCTAAAGAGGTTACGTATGGAGCTTTGTGCTTGAGACCCCCTTAGCATTTAACTGTCCTACCTCCAACTATCTTATTAGCCTCTGCAGTCATACTATTAGGCAAATGAGGTGATCATGCATCCTAGTAAAAGAGGTGTAAGTACTGTCTGCTACAAAGAAGGTGGAGTTTGTAGGATTCTGACCAGTTTCAACAGGAGTGTATGGATACAGCCAATTTGACTGTGGCAATCTAGAATATCATAAAGCATAGCTAAGTCTTGATTTTGGTGTTATATGCATGCTGTAAGTTAGCCAAGACTGGAGTATCCCTAGTCTCATGTAGTTAAGACATCTTATGGTGGAGAATATATACATGTTTTCTTTTGTTGCCTATAATGGTGAAACTGAAGTTACAGCTTGATATTTTAAGTTAATTGCTTCCCCTATAGAAATGTTCACAAGGGGCAGTGTATTTTTGGATGTACTCCTTTCCTTCTAGTTCACATGTTGGGTCGTGGCTATGGTTTAGTCCAGAACAAGAAGACCAAAATTGTGGTCCAATGAAGCATATGTAAAGCCCTCATAATATAAGCCTAAGTACGAACTATGTTTGTGTGTGTAAAAGACTGCATGTGACATGCAAATGAAATACTGAAGATGGGCAGCTCAAGGACATTAATGGTATGCTAAACAGTGAAAGAGAAGGACAAAATAGAGAATTGTGCTTGACTTCCACACCCCTCTTCAACCCACTGGATATTTTTATTGGAAGCAGTTAATTGTGCTGATAGAGATTTCATATTCCAGAAGGGAATGTAGTTTGGCAAAGTATCCTAGCTTTCAATACAGACAGATGAATAAAGGGTAACCTTTAAAATCCCCATAGAATAAACTGCTGAGAAACAAAACAGACACATGGAGAGACCATCTGCAAATTCTCTGAATGTGCAGGGCTGTAGAATACCATGCAGTCTGATATCATATAATTTTTAAGCATGGCAAAATGGGACATATACATCTGTCATATTAAGAAAGAGGAAAGATTAGGCTTTCATTCTTGTTTATGATCTCTCATAGCAGCTACTACCCCAGTATTTATACATTGAACAGATCTGCAAGCAGCAGCACATGGTAGACTTCAAACAAAAATGTGCGTCTTTCTGGCTCAAGAGAGTCCAGCCATGGTTGCAGGTTTTCGTCTTTGCCTACTGAGAAAATTTATTAGGAAAGTAGAAATATTCCCAGGGCTGGCAGCTATTAGACTAAAGCCATATAGTATTTTCTTTACCGCTGATGTCCCCTTGGCCATGAATGTTTTCTCTCCAGTGCTCACATACCTAAGCCTTGCGTCCGTAAACTATGCTGGCCAAATGGATTGCAGTTATCTAGGTGAGTCATGGAAGGAGAGGACACTAAGGTAACTGGCCTAGGCAACTGATAAATCATGCCCAGAGTTTCATTTGGAAACAGAATTGTGTTGAAAGTCACCAAAGAGAGACTGTATTTTCATGTCCTGCACGGGAAGCAGGCTCCTGTGCTCTGCCAAGACTGAAGCATATGCATTCTTTCCTCCTTCAATGTAAAATTCAGTGCAGAGCATTACAGCAAGCTAACACTTTCCTTTTTTTTAAAAAAAAAACCAAACACTCACCATCCAGAAATAGCTGTGTGCATAGCAGATGTCAGAGAATCTCCACTACTTTGACAAACCCGAACAGATGCCTCTGTAAGGTGATAGACTACTGGCTTAACTTTTTCTTCAAAGTATTTTCCTCTTGCTATCAGCAACTGCTCTGTTCTGTTTGGATTTAGGCTACGTCAGCTGTTACTTATCCAAGTTCTTCTATCTGCATCTTGAGATGATACAATGATGATTATATAGGAGGGAAACAAGAAACAGAGCTGAATAGCCTTCTTCCATACAGAATCTGAAGAGGACAGAGGTAGCATCACTCCCTACAGTGTGTGCATGCATAATAAGTTGTAGTGAAAAGAAGATGGCTATTGCTGCTGTTGGACTAAAATCATACAATCCATGTGTGCCACACAACCAGCTCTCTGGTGGCTGCTGTAGTATTGTACAAGAGTTCTGATATTGTGGGTGGTGTGAGCATTGAATTCTCACTTCTTGCAGCTCCAAGGAGGCTGGGGAAGGACTTGTACAGGGAAGAGGGGTGCTGCTGTTCGGGTACCAGGAGATCAAGATTCACTTCTCATCTTTGCTACAATCTCTCTTTCTAATCTTGAACAAATCATTTAATTTCCTTGTGATTCAGTTCATGATATCTACACTATAAATTCATGCTTGTTAATAGTCCCTTTTATTCTGCCAGAAAATGAGGAGAGTAAAATGTGACAACTAAGCAGGACAATAAACCATTCCAGAGGTTAAGGATATCTGGTCTCTGATATTTGTGTTTAACAAGAGATGTAGTGTATAATGATGACTCCTAGTGGAATGGTGTTTTAAATGGTGCCAAAATGAATAAAGATAACCTACATTCGGGCAGTCACTTTTTCTTCCGCCTGGGCATTCGCATGCTGAATGCACCGGCAAACCCTTGGTGTCCATCTCCCTTCCTCCTTCCCAGGCTTTTTCCTCATACTTAACAAGTTCTATTTATATATCTTCTAATATGTTCTGTTTGCTCAGTGATTTTCCTAGGAATGATAATTTGAGTATGGAGGGATAACTGATATAGCCTACCACAGTAAGGCTTTGATCAAAGTCCACAGTAGTTTTCCCCAGCATTTGGATGTTTTTATTGCTGAGAAAGTGGCTGTATTTTTTGGTTAGTTTGCCAGCTCTGCCTTTCTTAAGGAGAAAGTGATAATGTCCATTAGTAGTTTTAACCAGCAAAACGGGACAGGATTTTATCAGTCCATGTACAGTGTAACCACTGTTTGTAGCATCTCACACCTTCTATCTTTTTCTTTTCATCTTCTGTCATTCTATCCCACCCTTTGATTTCTCATTCAACATTTGGCCGGTAGTTCATCTGGTTCAAAATCGTCATTATTTTGTAGGTTTTGCTAGATTACTTCTGAGAGGATTATTCCCAAGGAAGATATTTGTTCCTTTTAAAGTCTTTTGAAGTGCTTAATTTCCATAATTATTCTCTTAATCAGTATTTTTTAAAAAAAAATCAACATTTTTCTGTCTTAGAAAATATTCATTTCAATAACTATGTAATCATTAAACTTCATTTTGAAAACATCATACAACTACAAGGTTTTTGTATTGTATCAGATGTTTGCATAGTTGGCTGCTCATCTGCACACCTGGTTCTGGTGATTTTGGCTCTATTCATGCACATAAGGACTGCAGGATCAAGCCTCTAACTGATGAAAACCAGTTAGAAGCTTCTGTCTTCCACCTCCCCAAAAATTTCCAAAATGCACATGAGATTACAAAAATCTCAATATTTAAATGGTGTATTTTAAGTTGAATTCCTTTTTAGCAAAAAGTGCACTAGGCTTCCAAAAACTGCACACAGGCGAAGTTGTTCACTAAATTGTTAGCAAAGTTGTCACCCTCCAAGATCTGTGTTTCTGTGCCAACAAACTGGTTTTAGTATCTCTGCTACCTAGGTATAGTTGGATGAGTGGCACATTCTGAGGCTGTGAAAGGTTAGCAGTGACCCTGAAGTACGGAAGCAGATGAAGGGAGCTGGAGAAAGAGCATCACAGCTATGCTGACTGTTACAGGGAAGTTCACCAAGGAGTGGTTTGCACTATTGTGGGAGATTTGATTTCAGTACTTGCAGGTATAGCTGTGACTGGCCTTAGTCTCCATAGTTTCTGTAATGATAGCTGTGAAGGGCATTAGGCTTCAGCATGGCTTAGCAAGATGCCCAGGGAACTGAACAACCCATGCTGAGGCCCATGTGGGATTGGCCTCCACGTTAGCTAATTCAGGTATGTCTGTCTGTGCCGCAGTTGTTCCTTCAGCAGAGCAATGGCATGGAAAGAAAAAGGCTGTTAGCTAGGGCCAGTAATACCCTAATGGAAGTCCTACCTCTTACCCTCATGATTTCATCTAATGTGCTTTGCATATGTTTTTGCAGATAAACCAGACCCACCTGCTGGAATACCTTGCGCATCAGACATACGGAGTTCCTCCCTCACTCTCTCGTGGTACGGCTCCTCTTACGATGGTGGAAGCGCGGTGCAGTCCTACACTGTGGAGATCTGGAACTCAGTGGATAACAAATGGACAGATCTCACTACCTGCCGCAGCACCTCGTTCAATGTGCAGGACCTGCAGGCTGACCGAGAGTACAAATTCCGTGTGCGAGCTGCTAATGTGTACGGCATCAGCGAGCCCAGTCAAGAATCCGAGCTGGTAAAAGTTGGAGAGAAACAAGAAGGTTAGTTTTTGAGGGGAAAAAAAAAAATCTAAATTAAATTAAACAATATCTTAACAGTTCCCCAGTGAGGTCACGCAGCTGTAGACACTCTTTTGCATGTCTCTCTGTGCAATGAATGCTTATGCTGGCTGGAAGTATGCTGAGTGCCTTTGCACACTTCTTGTAGGTGTCTGAGCATATAAGTTTTGCATGCATCCAATGGAAACTTGGTTTCAGGGACCCCAAAACCCTGCCTTGTGAAAGCAACCAATAATTCGGCTTCTGGCTTGCTGTGTGTGCTGGCTGACAGACAGTAGTTCAGTGCACAGGTGATAGGAGGTGAAACCTTTCACACATAAGTTACACATTCAGACCATGCCCAGTTGGAAAATGATGTTTGGTGGCTTTACCTGAAAAATACTGATGGATTCATTACACTTTATACTGGACACACCGTAGAAAAGCAAGCAATAAACACGATCCCAAATTTGCTTTTGGAAAAAGTAAGTATGCTTGCTACTAGCCAAGCACTGAATATGCAGTAGAAACTGAATTAGGCCCTCATACTTAGTTGTAGTTCCCATGCTTCAAATCCCAGCATGGTAGAGCACCTCAGTCCTGTTGTCGCTGGTACACTGATCTTGTGAATTCAAGGCTATCCTACTTACCATGTTGGTTTTGCAGTGTTATGGGTGCTAAAAATATTTTTTAGGGTTTGTGATTACAGTTGCACATACTTGCAAAAATATTTTTTGGTATCTTTTGCCTCTTACTTTTTGCTTAAGATCTTCTCAAAGGACTAATGGGAAGAGCTGGAGCATTTTAGAAATCATTTGGAAACCGGTACCAAAATTTTAAACACACACAAAAATCAGCATTATTTTTTAAAAACAGATACTGAATGCATATTTTTGTGCACACCCACATCTACCTACTGTGCAAGGATCTCTTTGATAGTAATACCACACTGAAAAGCCCAGACCACGAATAATGTGTTTTGCCATTTTTCCTGTCTTTGAGGAGTGGACTGTGTGTTGTATCTCTTCCCTCCTTACTTATGTATGCAGGGCTTTGGAGTTCTAAGTGTCTCACATAATCCTTGTGTTGTTATCTTTTATTGCCACAGCAAGACAAAATAATAGCAAAGTGGTGCAGCATCACACAACTGTGAGCCTCTCAACAGACATTCCAAACAAAAGTAAAACATATTTCTCTTCAGTGCTAAACTGGATGCATTCTGAGAAATTACTTTCCTCTATTTTAAAGATTTAAAACCTGATCTAAATCAAGATGCAGCTTCTCTTCAAAGCGGGGAAAAAAACATTAAGAGCAGCAATAAACTTGAAAGGAAGCTAGATGGTATTGGCTCTTCATAATAAAATTCCCTGTGTTTGAATGCCCTCTTTCTTTACTTGCAGGACGAACACCTTCTAGAGCTGGGGACCTGACTCTTCCCTGCATTTGTTTTTCCTAGAGCAAGCACTGCTTGTACTGGACCAAAGCAAATGAGCTATTTTTCTTTTTAAGACTGCAAGATTTCTTACATAGGTTTAATACAAAAAGGCTAGAAAGTGTATGAATCATTGTGATACGTATAAAAAACAAACAAACAAAAAAGTTGTTTTGAGTGAGAAGAAAACGTATTCTGTTTTCCAGAGGGTGGGTTGTCATGAGGGCTTCATGACTTTAATTCTTGGTACTGCAGCCAATGTGGAGAAAGGGCAAGTCATGTAAAGCGTGATTTTTCAGTGTGTGAATATAACTGGTGCTTTAATTAAAGGCAGTGGAAAATGCATGTGTTCAGCACCTCTCAAAGTCAGGACTTTAAGCTGCCATCTATATAAACACTTAGCTGAGTAACTAGGGATTTTCCATTGCTGCCAGAAAGACTGATTACTGATTTTCATACTGAGGTGGCCAGCGCATATTAGCAATTTCAATGTAATCTTAGTGAAGAAAGGCTTGGCTAACTTTTCACTGTGCATTTAAAGAGAACAGCTACTAAAATAAGGTTGTAAGTCACAACAGATTAAAGTAGGCATTGCCATGTTTGAGGAAAATTTGGTACCATTGCCTCACTTCTGAGAAAGGTTTTAGCACAGCTACTCAGCGCTTACCAAGCTCAGATATGTTCTGCGTATTTAATTTGGGCTTCCACTGGTGGACCAAAATGTTTCTAGTTCATGTCTTCATTACAGTGTCGCTGCAGAACTGGGAACTGGCTTCTTTGTCTAATCAGTATTTGGCAGACATTAACTACTGGCAGTGTGGTTGGGATCAGCTCCCTTATGCAGCCCTTAAAAGGGGAGGAAAATGTGATGTGCTGTATGCAAGTGTGGTTTCTAGCCGAGGAAGATCTGAGGACAGCTACCCCTGAGTGGGGAGGGCTCGCTTCCCTCCCTGCCTTTCTGGTAAATCACTGCAAACCAGCTTGTCTGTGCTGAGACATAGAAAGGTGGCAAATCCAGAAAAGACAGAAGGGCTTCAGTAACAGATTGTATCTACTTGATTGGCTTCGCTACCAGAACACAGATGCAGCATTATGTGTTGGCTATGAAAAGGTGCTGCCCATGCATCAGACCAGCTATCTGCTCACCCTGAACCCTTTTTTTCTGTGGTTTTCTTCTCATCTGCTGCATATAACTCTATACTCTAAAGCACCTAACAGCATCCAGAGTACCGCATTAATGTTTCATAACATAAATCGGTTGACACAGTGGGGATAAATCACTTGGTTAAGCTTGCACTCTACAATGGCAATGTGCAGCTTCAGCAGCTAAAAGGAGAATTGTACAGGTCACTGTGCAACTGCCTTTGCAGTTTCTCAAATTACTGGGCATAGCCACAGGTCTTAGGAGTAAGCCCAAGCAGTGTAAGTAATACATAACAACATTGCAGCTACAACCCCTTTCCCCTCATGCTTGCAGGCAACATAGGGACCAACACACAAACCGGTGCTACTGACAGTTCTTGCACATGAAAATTAAAAATGACAATCAAGACACTCAGGCCAGCTTTTAGTCTCTCTTATGTCACTGGGCTTGCCAATGTCTCTGCTTGTCTTTGAGTACGCCTGCAGAACTGAGGCTCCATTTGGACCTCAATGATTTCAAAATTCAGCCATGCTCAGGGAAGTGCATGCTGTCCAAATTTTCTAGTCATCTTGAGTCTGAAAAATTTGTCTTGATGCTTTGCAGTAAAACTTTTCATGTACAAACTTGCTTTACTTTTGGATTTGCAATCAAAAAAATGCATAGAAAAGCCAGAAAAGGACTTGTCATTGAACGAGAAGTATTGTTACTGATTTTAATATTTTTAATTTATTTTCTGTTTCACTAAGGCATTCCTAAAGCTATTTATTAGATGACTTTGAACTGATTCAGTATGCTGATGTTTCTAGTAGGCAGGTAAAACAGAAAAGTACTGCAAAACACATTAACTTGATTTATTAAGAAATGGTGACCAGATTGTGATTGTGTAGTCAATAGTCATGTAGAAGTGGTGAAGAGATTTTAATTATGAAGTTAATGCACAAACTCCCTGACTGCTTTTTGCTGCTTAGCCACAGGGTCTACCAGTTGCCCATGTTACTGTGAATAATTTGACTATCTTATGTAAGTACCATATCCTACATAATAAGTTATCCATGTCTTTTTATTTTCATCACAGAACTTAAAGAGGATGAAGTGGAACTATCTGATGATGGTAAGACGTTCATATTTTAATCAGGACAAATGCAAATCTGTATTTTTAATTCATGGTTTATGGAGGTTTTAATCATGGTCCTTAATACTTATTTGTAGAAGGGAAAGAAACAGAGGTCAACTATCGGACGGTTACTATCAACACTGAACAAAAAGTTTCAGATGTCTATAATATTGAAGAAAGACTGGGATCGTAAGTACTGCGTTGTGCTTTTGAAGACATGGAGTTTTCGAGGCTGCCAGTCAATTATAAAGATCATGTGCATTCATTCTTTGACGGTGTCTTGCACTTTCAACATTTGAGCTGGGCTCCTCTGTTGCAGTAAAAATAGATTTTAACATATGTTGACCTCCACTCCATAAAGATCCTTTATTCCTATTAATTGGGAATTTTAAATAGGCCCTACATACATTTTTGACAAGGAAAATGGAGCCCACAAATGAATAAAACTAGAGGATTAATTCATTGTTCAGTATTCTAAAAGCTAGCTGAAAAAAAGGTACACATTGTGTACTTGCACTTCCATTATAGCCATTAGTGGTAATAAGATTATCCTGCCCACGGGCTAGAATCTCTGTTGACAGCGGTCATAATCCCAAGAGCATTAATAGTATTGCTCCGTGAAGGTCAGTGATTAGCCTGGCTGTGTTTCTCAGTGCTCAGACTCGTGGTTATGTGAATTGGCATGCCATGATAATCTTTCAGCAATTTGTGCTGCTGGTGGTGCTGAAGGCCAGGGGATCCTCAATGCTGCCATTAACAAATCTTGATAAGTGTATTGTAGAGGTAGGACTGTACATATACAGCAATGTGAAATAATAGCAGTGAAGCCTCCAGCATTCAGATTCTGATTTCACCTATATCCTATATCCTATGCCTGAGATGTCTCCTATCTGCTGCCTCTTCAGAGGTGTATGACCTATAGAAAACCATGTGCAGAAAAACTTGAGTCACATGAATTAAAGACTGGTAGGAGTCCATTTTTTTGAACGCTCTTATATAAAATGTGCTAATTGGAATACTGGGGTATCACTGAATGTGGTATTCATGCAAAAATTCTTGCAGATTACTCTGCACAAAATCAGTACAGAACAGTACTTGATATGAAGACATTTTTATTTCAGAATGGAGTGGTTGTGCTGGAATATTTAGTAAAATGTTGCTGTTCATGGTGGCCCATACATTGCAAAAATGTTTTATGGAAATAGTTATATATTTTCAGGGGGAAATTTGGACAAGTCTTTAGGCTTGTTGAAAAGAAGACTGGAAAAGTTTGGGCAGGAAAATTTTTCAAAGCATATTCTGCTAAGGAGAAAGAAAACATAAGGGATGAAATCAGCATCATGAACTGTCTACATCATCCAAAACTTGTCCAGTGTGTAGATGCCTTTGAAGAAAAAGCCAACATCGTTATGGTCTTGGAAATGTAAGTATAAAGCAGATCACACAAACAAAGCTAATAATGTTGAAAATAATTGTGCATACAAAAGTAGCAACTTACCTAGATATGGGACTGTCAAAAGCTTCAGCATCTGCAGGGCCTGGATGGTTTTCACATCTTGCAAGTTTTTCCAATTATTTATCCAACTTGTTTAAACTGTGTAAGTGAATCTGTGTTGTATCTCTTAAAAATCAGTGAAGATGTGCTACAGTCTTTATTGTCTAGTTTGCTTGGTTTTTAATCAGGTACATGTGGTGGTTTTCTGTAGCTCACTTATTGCCAGCTTGGGAGGGGAGAGGAAAAAGTTAGCTGCAATTTGGGCTTGCATTTAGAACCAAAATATGTTTAAGGAGGAGAAAAAATATTTTTTCTTAGGCAGTTCTAAACATGTATTGAAGAAGCTTGTGTCATATTTCACTTAAACACTGATCACTTGTCTCTTGCAGACAATTGAATGTTGGGGTACAACAGATAGTAGGAGAGAAAGATATGCTTGAGAATGCAAACATCTAAGCTACATTCTAACAAAACTGTTGAATTTCCATGGATATTTCACCCAGGCAAATTTATAGTATCCAAAAGGTATTTGGAACACTTTAATTTTCATCAGGTGCTATATCCAGCTTTTATTTTTTTAAGAGACCTTAAAGGATTAGTCTGATGTGTTTTTCCTGCAACAACATAAATCCTCTGACTGCAAAGCATTTATTTATAATAAGGGAGTGCTGTCTGAAAAATCTCCACAAGTGAACACCTGTTCTAAGTCTAGATCAGTAGATGCAGAAAGATTGGTTACACTGTTTCCCCCAAAAAACTAATTAAACATGAATTAATCTGCCTCTAATGTCAATACACAGATTCTCCATGATGGTCAGTTATAGCAGTTGTTAGAAGGGAATTTATCCTTTACTTGAAAGTCATTGCACTCTTCAGCCAAAGCTATACAATTAAGAAAAGCTAATTTGAAGATAGCCTATGTTGCTGTCTTGTTCTTGTTGAGTAAGATAGCAACACTTATTTTTACCTCCCAGAAATTGTTTGCCTTGAGCTACTTATGCCACACCACTGTGGAAATAGCAGAAAAGCACCACAAAAGCAGTGTTGTAAAGCATCTCACAGGGCTGTGACTTGGGTATCTTTATGCTTAAAGATAGTAGGTAATTACTTCCAGAAAAAAAGGTTCAGAACATGTTCATGCACCAGAATTCATTATAAGAAAATAATCTGCACAGCGTGGGATGGAAAGTAATGGTCAGACTTCAGAAACAATAATGACCAACATTTACATCATCCAGAACGCACCTGCTTCGTGTGAATCCCGGGATTCCCATACTAGCAGCTGGAAAGAAAATGAAATGCTGATCTGTGATGATGTTTTTCCCCAAAAGTGACATCAGTCACTGTTCTGCTGCCACATCTCCTTCATGCGCTGTCTACTGCAAGGAGAAGCGGGTTTTTTGCTGGCTGGAAGTGCTGAATAAGATATAAATTATTAAAAGCAAAAGAGACTGTATGTCTATTTCTCTTGCTTGGCACTTGGCTAGACTATGTGCAAACTACTGTTGCACTAGCATATTTCAGAGACAGGATCTCCATTATACAACCTTGGTATTTATGTGCAAGAAGGTGCCTTTATTTTTAGATTCAGCAGTTGAGCAAGCTGATGACGGTAAGGGAAGGGAACCCTACTTAGTTTGGAATTGGGAGCTGGCAGACCTAATGGAAAACAAGGAAATGTATAAAGAGTTTTGAACAGCATATGGCTTTACACTCCATTAGTTCCCCCCCTGCAAAAAAAGGGGGGTTACTTTTTAAAAAGATAGAAAAGTGCAATCAAATGTAAAGTAGTTTTGTTAACCGGTCTAATTAGGATGTGATTTTAGTTCGGGGTGGCCACCTTTTCTGGCTTTTGAACCCCCACACTGAAATTTCCATAGTGTCGAGAGCCGCAGGAGGAGGCATTCTTAAAGCGGCGCGCAGGCAGGCAGGCAGTAGCAGTCTGTCCCTGCTCTGGAGCAGGTCTGGCAGTGAGATGCTTGTGTGACACCTTCGTGTCCGATGACTTGGTAGCCTCTCCACTGTCACATGTTACCGAGCTGACACAGTCCCAGCATGGCAGCTGCACCTGTATCGTTAGAGAGCCACTGATGGATATTTCTGGTTTAGCTATTAAGCTAATATTTCTTTGCATATCAAAGAAGTTGTGGGAAATACCTTCAAAAATTCTTAGTATCCAAGCTGTTCTCTTTATTCCCATCAGAGTCTAAATGCATGGATTTCAAATAAATCAAGCTTACCTGCCATCAGTCTCCTTTTAAACCAGATTTTAGCAGTGACTGGAATTTAGCAGCTCCCCGTTCACTCAAGTTGGAGCTATCAATGAGAAGCACATTTGGATTTTTCTTCCCTGATATTCAGCCTAAATTTGTCATTTTAATTTTATTCCCATATCTTTCTTACAACTTTTTGAACTTCACCCTCTCTCCTTTTAATATTTGTCATGCCACTATTTTATATGGTTTGATTTCATATTTATAATAAGTTAAGAATTTTTTATTGTTCATTTAAAATAAAACACTATAATGATTCAAATCTTATAATCATAGAATCATAGAATGGTTTGGGTTGGAAGGGACCTTAAAGATCATGTAGTTCCAACCCCCCTGCCATGGGCAGGGACACCTTCCACTAGACCAGGTTGCTCAAAGCCCCATCCAACCTGGCCTTGAACACTTCCAGGGATGGGGCATCCACAGCTTCTCTGGGCAACCTGTTCCAGTGCCTCACCACCCTCACAGTCAAGAATTTCTTCCTTATATCTGATCTGAATCTGCCCTCTTTCAGTTTACAGCCATTACCCCTTGCCCTGTCACTACATGCCCTTGTAAAAAGTCCCTCTCCAGCTTTCTTGTAGGCCCCCTTCACTTGGTGTGCTCTTCCCTGGAAACCCTCCCATCTGCCATTTGCTGGGAGTCAGGGGCAAATTTCAGGCATTTTCTTTTCAAATATAGAGATGTACTGGTTCCACAGTGGAAAAAGAATATCTGAAAAATAGTAGCATGTTGTGAATGGCATTCAGCACTGGGAGCTTAATTCCTTTAAAGTTTTCACATACTTCAGATAGTTTATTTTTACATAGATCAGAAGAAGATTATTGTATTGCAATTAAGATTATTAAAGCAAAATTTCAGCATTGAACTCCATTCAGTTGGTGTGATTTAAGTCAGAACAAGTGACTAAGGTTTTCTCTTCTTTTCAAAGGGAGATTTATTAAAATGCAGTTGAATATTTGCCTGGGCAACTCCAACGTTTCTCACTGTTCCTCCATGAACAAAACCTTATAACAAAAACAAAAAATTATAATGTGTATTCTGTGACTCTATAGACAGGAATATTTTCCTCTGTGACCTAACCTAGGAAGACTGAAAAGAGGAGAATCTAGAAGAGAATGAGAGATTTAGATTCTGACCTAGTTGTGACTGTTTGAAGAAAGCCGACTTCTCCTTCTGTGTATACATAGAACCTATCTGCATTGGTTCAATTCAGCTTCCTAACCTGGCAAAAATTAAACTGGATTTGGCTTAGGATATAAATGCAAAAATATGCACTCTATAAATGCAATTGCAGTTTAATCTAATGATGTTAGCAGACGGTCTAGAGGTACCAGGGTAAAAACAGCATGCAGATGTATTAACAGTAGTTAATTTCCAAATAATATGCTAAAAAGTAGCACTTGAGACAATGGTACGATTTCTGAATATTTTTCACTTTAGGGATCTGAAAAGTATGGCAGTCTTATAGTAAAAATAAGTTGTTGCTATTGGTGTTAAATAGTCAAAAAACAGCTGGTACTTTTTAGAGTTAGGATGGTTATCATTTGCAATTGCAGAGTGCTCAATTTTGCATACAGAGGTTTTCATAAATACCTCCATACTGGTTAATGTCTTACTGAAGTAACAGAATACTAGATCCCCAACTTATCAGAGCTGTTTATTGAACAGCTCTAGCCATATTATTGGCTTTATGTTACAAATGTGCCATAATCCAGCGTAACCTCTCAGTTTGTCAAACTTATGCCATTCTTGCTTTTTTCATGTTAATAGGAAACTGCAGTAGCATTTCTGATCATATGTTTTCTGAAATCTTATAGCCAAAGCAATAAATGTGTCCAGAACTCCAGATGTTTCAGTTCCAGTTTAGTACATGAGGGATATAATCATATATCTGACAACCTGCAAACATTGGAAGGCCAGTTTTCAGTTGTGTAGTTTCTTTCTGTTACTGAAATGTGCAACTACATTTGGCAATGAGCGTGAATGCTGCAAAATATTAACCAATATAAAGACCATGGATCATTTAATTTAGAACAGATTTCTAAAAGCAAAGCTGCTCTTCACCATTTGCTCCTTTCTGTATGGGTCATTTACCCACCGCATACAAAAAAGTATTTCCCATCTTTGGATGTAAGCAGATAAACCAGTTGAGTGATTACTCAGAATTTAAAAAAAAAAAAAAACAAACCCAAACCACAACTTAAATTTTGCTTCATTAAATCTAGGTTAAACATGTCCCACTTTAGTTCCACAAACAGTTCAATGCGGGAGATTCTACCCTGGAAAGATCAATTATTTCACATCTTAAATAAACATAAAAATGGAATTGACCTACAAGGAGCGTGATCATGGCTCAGCTAAAAATACCAGCAATGAAAAAGTTGTGTGTTATATCCTTGTCCTGTCATAGCTAAGGAGGAAATTCCCTCTGAGCTTGCTTGGGTCAGTAATTTACCCTTTGAGCGTTGCATTCCAATTAACCATATCATTTGAATTCTTGCTTCTTCAGTCTTTCTTTGTCACTCTCTGTCTCTCTTCTTCCCAAATTTTTGCTCATCTACTAGAAGTTTTGTCCTCTTTTGCTGGGACCCATCCCATGTATTTTAGCTTTCTGTATTTCTAAATTATGGTATCTGCACTTGTGTAGTGATGGAGCATAGGAGGGAAGGAAGCAGTGAGAAACATGAGCTCAGAGTCTGGAGCAGTGTTATAAACACGTCGGCGGGGTGACAATCACACGGCACACGCTTTATTGCCAGCTGCAGGTGGCTGAAGCCTAAAGGCAGGATGTAAATCCAGCTACATCCTACTGCCTGGGATAACAGTATGAGTGCTTGCTTCACAGTCATAACCTGGGAAAGAGATTGAGAATGGAAAAAATCTATTGAGTGAATCCACAGGCAAGAGGCGATTCTTCCTATGTGATCCTTGTGTCTATGGAAAGTGCCATTACAAAACATGGATTGCGTCCTGAAGTGACTACTGCAAGCTTAACTATCAGTATTTCTGTAAAGGAAATAGTTTGATTACTCCCAAAATGAAAATGCTACAGAAGTCCTCTTTTTATTCTGTCTTTCGTAGGGTTTCTGGAGGAGAACTCTTTGAACGAATCATTGATGAAGACTTTGAACTGACAGAGAGAGAGTGCATTAAATATATGAAGCAGATTTCAGAAGGAGTTCAGTACATCCATAAGCAGGGTATTGTCCACTTGGATTTGAAGCCAGAAAATATTATGTGTGTCAACAAGACCGGTACAAGTATCAAACTCATTGACTTTGGACTTGCAAGAAGATTAGGTAATGACTTTTCTGCCTGTTTCAATATGACATTGGTAAAAGGGCATGACAAGCAGTAATTCATGCTTACTATTTTATTCTTTCATGTATAGAGAGTAAATAGGCATGTTTCTTATAAATAGTTCTGGTTTTAGGAAAAAATAGAAAAGGGAAAAAGAAGACATTCAAGAGTGAGAGTGGGGCACCTCCTCTTCAAGAGGAGTTTGCAGTGAAGTGTATACAAGCTACCTGTCTGTTTCTATGGCTAGGGTATCCCTGTAGGTTACAAGGTAGAATACACAGTAGTAGTAATGTTAACAAATATTTACATTTGCTACAGGAAACCGTAAAACACTAACACTCTAACTGTAAAAAATAGAACAAAACCTTGATCTTCATGAATACTACAAATCCTTTTAACTTTTGTAACAGCAGGAGTTAACTGATGTTCTAGAAGCCTTTCAGATATGGATAATTGCATTCAATTTACATTTCCCCATTAGTTTTATCATTTCTTATCCTAAACAGCAGCATATTGTCATACATGTTAACATGGGAGGAATTCTATAAAGAGCTGTGTTTTGGTCATGCTCAAAATGATTAATAAAATAGCACTACTTAAAAATAATGCAGTGTGACTGGGGGGAGGGAAGTTCCATTTGACAAGCTCCTCCTCTTCCTAAGCTGTTTTTAGCTGCTTCCTATCATGCATTTTGGACTAAGCTTTCCAACATGCTCTGCAATTTGAAAGCCATGTATGTTAGTGTTAAACAATAACAACATCACACAGTGATCTTTTTAATCTTGTATTTTCACAAGAGAAAAAATATCATTCCAGGAATTGAAAGGTGCTAAAATACTTTATGAACCTGTTCTACTGGGAGAGCTGAGATTTGTGGCTCTTCTGCCATTAAATTGATTGGGACAACTCATATGAATTGCTACTCTCCATATAAAAGGGCCCACAGCTAGATTCTTAGTTGTAATCTTGTAATCTGCCTTCCCTCTTTAAACCAAATTATATTTAATACTCATTAAAAAGTAGAACAATGATTTTTGTAAGCGTACAGCTTGGAATTACAACCTTCTGGTTTTTGTTATCTGTCTATATGCTGCTCATCCTACTTCTTTTGACACTGAAGTAACAGACTACTGCGTACCCAAGAATATAATTTTACTAAAACAAACAAAAAATGGTATGTTGAATGAATAGGGGAAAAGAAATCTGCTTTTCAGATTTTTAGAGTATGTTCAACTCCAAAAGGGTATGACATGAATCTTGGTCACATGGACACTGTGAACTCAGAGATAAGGTGTTTATTTCATTCATTAAAAAAAGAGATCTCTGCCATTTATGTTCCTTCATATGGAGCCAATAGTTTTCTGGGTGCATGAACTGGATTTTGTTCTTGTTGAGGAAACAGATGAACTGTTAAGTAAGTTCCAGTGCTGAAGTTTTTGTTATCAGAGGTGTGTGAAAGACTTCATCCCATGATGTCCCAGCTGTCAGCCTGAAAACTATACATTTACTGCTGAACTGAGTGGATTTCACCAGCAGAGTTATAACGTAACCACAGAATGGCCTTTTTATCTTCAACTACCTTTTTAACTTCAAACCACAGTTAAACCTACATTTAGCAAAAGGGAGATCCTATTTTCAGTAGCCTGTTCATATCCATCAGCTTTTCCATTTTGCTGTTAATCTTGTGGCATCACTGTATATTGCATGGCTGACACTATCTTGTGAGCTGCTACAGTCATACCATATGTAATAAATCTCTAACCTGTATAAAACTGTAGAAAGATGAGAGCTATGGGCACTGACACTGATTTTGATTTTACAATACTGTACATTCATTTGGCTTAATACGTTGCTAATTCTTGCGAAGTTACATTATAGGTATTTGCTATCTTTTGTCAGCCTGCTGTTCTAGATAACTCAGTGTGTGTGTGATTTCTCTAGGAAGAGAAAGTGCCCTCCCGTTCCATGTCCATAAAGCAAAAGCACCTTGTTAATCATGAAGATGTTCGTAACATTTTGGTTCAGATGTTTTCCAAACGTAGAAAATGATTCTTACTGTTTCATTTCCTTACAAAAATTGCTAAAACCACTTTTCACTAAGTGCCCTCCTCTTGCCAGCTGTCTGATGTGGTGCACTGAGGGCACGTTCCTCCAGTTGTGTTCCTTCAAGCCTTGTGATTTTGAAATTGGCTGTCAAATTCACTTTGGCTTTGATAGATGTGGGATTGGAGCCCTCATACTATGGACCTGACCCTGGTTGAGCAGAACCACGCAACCAAGTGCCTGCTGAAGGGAACAGTGGCTGATTTTGCACTTCAGCTTCTGAGATTTACTTTTAACCTTTTGTAACTAGTGCAAACTAATGCCTCTAAATATTCAGTGTTTTGATCAGTTTTAAAGAGATTAGAACCAGCTCCTTCTGCAGTCATCTTCTGCAGCTAATTAGTTCTCTTACACTGTCAGGAAATACCAAAGCTGCAGTGGGATATTTTCCTGACCTTTTTTGGTGTGCTGAGGAACACATGTAGAAAATTGTTTAAGATAAACTTCTTGAGGAGAAAAGAGAATGGGTTTTGAGTACTGTAAAGATTTTTTTTTAATCAGTTAATTATACACAGTGTTGGCAACAGTTTCCAGCTAGCTTGTCAGCTTTCTGTTTGAACTAAGGGATATCCAAACACAGATCCTACTTGTGTACTAAGCTTGCAAACATCTGGGCAAAGATTTGACATATTATTGCATAGAAAAGGTCTTATTATTTTCTTTTCTTTTTTCTTTTATACACAGAAAATGCTATATCAGTTGTTTCGCACTGTATGCTTGCACTCAAGTGCCATGTTTTCAAAGAAAAGCATTTCTCTGACCTATGAGCAGCACATTTCATACACCAGCCTTTTGCATACACAGTGGCTCATGGTAGTTTACACAGTGCACAGAAAAGCCTCCAAACTTGGATGTGAAAATCTGAGCCCAAGATTTGGATGATTGTGATGAAGCTTTTAGAAAATAGGTTCTTTGTGACAAAAGTAATTTTTCATAAGGACAGTTGGGGAAAAATCTAAGTGTTGACCTTACAGAGAAGGCAAATGGGAAGGTGGGATCTTAGGCTTCCCATTTGTGCTTGGAAAAGGAGGGTGATCTCTCACTCCTCATTGCCACTGTGGAGAAGACATTGCCCTTGGTTTAGGCTACGTCAGTTTAGGTTGGATATTAAAAAAGGATCCTACCTTTTGGGGTAAGAAAACTCTGGTTATACGAGCGTGGGGATGTTGTAGAATACCTTTTGAATGTGCTTTTTAAAGCTAGTCAGACATCCGGCAGGAAGGTCTTGATGTTGGTGAACTTCATGGGAGGATCTAGGTGTTTTCCTGGGGCTGCTCCCAGGCATTCTGTCTGTTTCTGTCTCTAGAAGTGGTACTGCCTGCATGGACGGGTCTCTGAAAGCAGGGATAATGTGAAAATGAGGTTTCTGCAATTAATTTACTATCCCCATACCTCAGCAGAGCAAAAAGGGTTTCACAGCATTTAAAATGGGAAACTGACATGACTGCATTACTCTGGTAGTGCTTAGAAGTTGCCTCACACATGCTGTTCAACCTGTAAGCAAGTTATTAACCTCAGATATCCTTCAATTTTCATTTGGTAAGTTGGGGATTTGTATACCTCAAAAGAGTATTAACTTAGGTGTATGAATACATTCTATGAAATAATTTAACAGCTTTCAGTGGAGGTAACTGTAGGTGTGGAGTCAGTATTGGGATCAGCATTTATGTTGCAAAACTTGGTAGTGGAAGTTCTGGTAAATAAAAATATTCTGTAATGATTCAGTGTTGTGGACAAGTAGCTTCTATTGTAGTCTTCTCAAAACTTTGATCTGCTGTTGTTTGAGGTTTTTAAGCTTTTCTTTTGATTATAGAGCTGCAAATCTCTGTACTTGTGGTAACCTTAACAGGAGCAGGAGAGCAATCTCTTAGATCTGGTTTTCTTCCCATTCATATGTGTTCTCTTTAGATGGTAATCTCTTTGGGAGGGATCGTTCCACACCTTGCCATTCTACTGTGCCTAATCTGGATGCTACTCTTGCACAAAAGATCAACATAATGCAATGAATCTCACTTAAGGCAAACACTGATTGCTCAGGCACATGTGCAGACTGGACAAGAGTTTCTCAACCTAAATCCAAGCCTGTTTCAAGTCAGAAACAGTTTATTTCCTGACATTTTTATACTTTTATAATACAGATTTTTTACTGGGATTGTTTTTTTTCCCCAATCCCTAACCTATTCAATTGTATGAGGTTCAACAAGGCCAAGTGCTGGGTCCTGCACTTGGGTCACAACAACCCCATGCAACGCTACAGGCTTGGGGAGGAGTGGCTGGAAAGCTGCCTGGTGGAAAAGGACCTGGGGGTGTTGGCTGACAGCGGGCTGGACATGAGACAGCAGTGTGCCCAGGTGGCCAAGGCGGCCAAC